CCCAGCAATGGGTAATGAGCCCCCCAGGCCCCCCCGGAGCGAAAGGAGCGGCAGGAGGAGGTTGTTATCCCGCCTAGGGCCCAGGCCTGGGAGGGAGGGGCCGACCCGGAAGCCCCGCCCCCTCTGCAGGCCCCGCCCACCTCCCGTCGCGAAGAGACAGGCCTGATGCTTCCTGTTTTTAATTGGGCTGAAATAGCTACAGATACAGAGAGATTAAAAAAATCACCTTGATGACGTCACAGCACCGGGATGACATCACACAGGAGGCACGGAAGGAAAGGCAGCGTGGCGGTGACGGGCACACGGGGAGGCGGGGCCACGCGCACACGTGTACACACACACACACACACGGGTGGAGTCTCCCCCGCTCGGCCAATGAGAAGGCAGCAGGGGCTGGGGCGGGGCCCCCCAGCTGCTCCCCTGTGCCTCAGTTTCCCCTGCCTCCCCCCCGTCCTGCCAATCACAGGGCCTCATTTGCATGCGAAGCCCCGCCTCTGCCACACCCCCTGGCACCCCCATCCCCTCCACCAGGGGCAGCAGTGGGAGGGCAGGTATCTGCCGCCTCCCCAAGGCCCCCGAGCAGGGCTGGAGACTCCGGGGATGGGGCACGGGGGTGACGCGGGGGGCAGGGGCAGCTCAAGCGTTCTTGAGGATCTTGTTGGCCTGCGTGTTGGCCTGTCGGATCCGGTCCTCGTTCACTGTGACCTGGGGGGAGACGGGGGTCACGGGGGTCACCCCCCGGGGGCAGGAGACGGGCCTGGTCTCCCCGCCAGGCCCCAAACGAGGTGGATCCTGCTTAGCTGGGCCCCCCCTGCGCTCACCTTCTCCCGGATCTTGTCCACCTGCTTGTTCTGGATGTCGATCTCGTTGCCCACGTCCAGCGCCATGGAGCGCAGGTTGCCCAGGATGCTGCCCACCTGCACCAGGTTCTCCTCCATCTCATCCTCGCGGGCATCATTCGTGATCCTGCAACATGGGAGTGAGAGCTGGGGCAGAGGGACCCTGCCCAGCTTGCAGCACGTAACACTGGACAGACAACTGCTCTCCCACCCAGGCCCCAACCCAGGCGGATCCTGCTTAGCTTCCGCAATGTGCCCACACCCCAAGCCTGACCCAAGGGGGCTCCCATCCAGGCCTCAAACAGGGTGGATCCTGCTTAGCGTCTGCAAGCGAGGCAGCAGCCCCCCTTCGAGCCCCCCTCACCTCTGGATGTAGCCCCCAGTCATGATCATCTGCTCCCGGTCGTCGGCCACGTGTGACGGCTGCGTGGACACCACCCCGTCCTGCGTGTTGCCCCACACGGCCTTGTAGGCCTCGCCCGCCTTGAAGTTCTTCAGCCTGGGGTGGGGGGCGCAGGAATGGGGGGGAGAGGGGTCTGACCCCTCGTTTCCCCTGGGATAGGCAGGAGCCTGAGGTGCCAGGGTTGTGAGTTTCCCCGTAGCAGTGCCCTGGTGCAGCTCTGCTTGGAGCTCTGGGGTTGCGAGCTTCCCCCAACCAGTGCCCTAGCAGGGTTCAACTTGGGGTGTTGGGGCTGTGAGCTCCCCCCCTCCCCCGCAGTGCCCTGATACAGCTCATCTCAGGGCTCCAAGGTTGCGAGCTTCAACCCACCAGTGCCCTGGCAGGGCGGCAGGGTCCAGCCAGGGTTGTGAGCTTCCCCCCTAGCAGTGCCTTGGCCCTCCAGGGGGCACGAATGACCCTTGACCCCCAGGGTCCAGCCACCCGCACACCCCATTCAAGGGGGGGCTCCCACTGCCTTCCCAAGCCTGGCACAGCATCTGGTGCCCCCCACCCATGGGGAAAGGGGGCGGGGCCTGGGGCGGGGTGGGGGCGGGGCCTCACTTGGGACAGGGGCAAGGGCAGAAGCCGCAGCACTTGGCCATGTCCGTCAGGTTCTTCTCGGCCTCCTTCATGTCCTGGTTGATCTGGTCCAGGCCCTCGTCGATCCGGTCCAGCTGCTCTGTGGGGGGCAAAGAGGTGGGGTCAGCCCGAAGGGGGCGGGGTCTCCTGGGCTGCGAGCTTCCCCACAGCAGTGCCCAAGAAGAGGCACCAGAGCCAGCTCCCTGCCTGCCCATCGTCCCCACCCCCTGGGTCCCATCCATGCCAGCCAGTGGGGGGGCGCTGCCCCCTGTGCACCTCGTGCCTCAGTTTCCCCCCCTGCCCCTCACCTCCCTGCTCATCCAGCATGACCAGGATCCGGATGCCGGCATCTTTACTCTGTTGGGGGGAGAGAAAATGGGGTCCAACCGGCGAATACGACCACTTCTGGGGGGCGGCGTGGCCGCCAGCCACATAGAACGGGCCCCGGCATCAGGGACCCCCCTGCCTCCCCCCGACCTCATCAGTGACCTGGTGCTTGGGATTCAGGGGCCTGCAGGCGGGGGGCGGGGGGAAGGCCACAGGGGGGCCTGCCTCAGTTTCCCCACCCTGCAGCTGTGGTGTGGTGAGCTTCCCCATAGCAGTGCCCTACCGCCTCCCAGCCAGAAACCCAGGGCTGTGAGCTTCCCCACAGCAGTGCCCTGGAGAGAGAGGCGGTAATACCTCTTCCACCAGCTTCACCATGCGGCGGGAGCTCTCCAGAGACTGTGGGGGGAGAAGGAGAAAGAGGGGGTTGGTCCAGGGCAGGCCCCAGCCCCGCCCCAGG